TCATTTGCATAGCACTGCGTGCGCGTAGCTTTGCCGAGTGATCTCCTTCTCAATAATACCTCCATGATTGAACTTAGATTGATTGTGACAAGAACTACACAGTACAGTATAAGTAGAAAAATTTATTGTTAAATTTTCTGTCCCATTTTATATTTTAATGATCAGGCGAGACATTTTTTATTATTATTTTTTTTTTTCAAGGAATAATAAAAAACACCAAAAGAGGCAGCCCATCTAAAATCGTTTGTTCACAATATAAAATACAGGCAAAATACTACTCATACAGTTCCAAAAAATACAAAAATATAAATCTTATTCACAATCCACTTACTCAATAATCAGTTTATATAAATAGGGTTATATACATAATCATCAAAATTTATAAAAAAAAAAAACATAAGTTTGTGTAACAAGGTATAAAAAGTCTTCCCCCCCCCCTAAGTAATGGTTGTAACTTACAGTATACCATAGTTCTTGTATAAGCCCAGATTTGTATAATATTGTAGCTGTGTTTTGAAGTCATTTTTTTTCCAGTTGATTCCATTGTGTTGTAAAACATTTAATTGAATTTATCTAAAATATAATGCTTTGAAAGCTCAACACAATGAATGATATTACTATTTTAAATTGTAAGTAAATAATTTTCGTTTCTGCTCTTTTACTTGATGTATTGAGGGTCCCTAAAGATTAGATCTGGCTGGATAGTCCAGCCATACAAATCATTGCTGAAATAATTAAATAATGAATTTATGTTTTTTTTTACTCAAAGGTGTGTATTGTCAGCTAGATGTACAGTTTGAAGTTCATGATGTGGTGGCAATCAGAAAGGAATCTGCGTTCATGACATGTAAAATCTCAGGTCAAGATGCAAGCGGCAATATCATTTGGTTCAAGCACCGGAAACAAATCCATGATAAAAACATCAAAATGTTTGCAAATGGCACACTGTACTTTCCGGTGGTGCGAGACAAGGAAACGCTGACTGATGTGGGAATCTATCAGTGCTGCTTAAAAATCAACAACAGTATTATTTGTAGCGAGGATGTAGAACTAAGCTTAGCTGGTAAGCTTTTCTTTCTTTCTTTCTTCAACATTAATCTTGTTTACTGTACAGCCCTTTGTTTTGCGGCCCTATATTTTCGTGATTTTACATTTTTACGTATTTCGAGTCCTTTTATTTTAGTGATTTTACGATTTCCAGTCATATTTTAACATGATGCAGATGTTAATATGTTTTTTTTTTGCCTGTAATATAGCTAGAGCTCCCGATTTTGGCGGGGTTTCCCCAATTTTTTTTAGCAATCTCCTACCCTCCCGATTTTGAGGCTATCTACCTTAGGTAGGCCCAGGTCTACTTCAGCTACTCTAGCCTGCTTGACCAAGGTTTTTCAAATCAATAGTTCACATGTGTGGCCTACTCACGAGTGATTGAATGAATGAAAAATAATACACGAAGAAGCACGATCGTTTCCATGAAATCTTTATTGAAGCAATATCAGTTGGCTTTTGAAGACAAAAACTCATCATCCAGAATTTACATTTTCGCAATCATCGTTTTATCGCGAAAATTAAGGGAAAAGCGAAAAAAAAAGGCTGTACAGTATTTATATTTTTGAAAAATATTTATATTTTAGGCCGATTTACTTTTTTCCTTACTTCCTCTCTAGCTCGATTTGTTTATTTATTTATTTTTTTCATCTACTTATTTTGTCTTTCCAATAAAGCCCTGTGCAGATTCTCAAATTTTATTTGGTTAAAGAATTGTTGTGTGCCCATATATAGTCATGATGTGCCTATATATGGTCATGGTATGCCCATATATAGGTTGCCCAATATCAGGCCAAAAATGAAATTCGTTATTTTGGCCAATCAAAGTGCCATTTAGAAATCAGGGACAGTTGGTTTGCAATTTATAATTTAAAAAGCTTTTTAACTATCATAGACTAATTTGAGTAAGGGAAAAAAAGTTTGTGACGATTTACCGTCCAGATGAGTGCACAGTTCTGGAAGAAATATATCGTAGCACCATTCTTTTAAATGTCTTACCATTATTGGCATATTTTGAGTTCCTGTTTATGCCCATTGAAAATCGTTTAAAAAAAAATTTACAATGACACAAGTTTTCAAAATATTGGATGAGGACTTGTTACGCTACAAGAGCAACACATGTGAGAATTCATTATTTAAATTGCATTAAGTACAGTACAGTTAAAGCAGCAACAGAGTATAGGTAAGTGGAACATACCACTTCGGTGATTGCGGCTGATACAAACTCGTATATGTTCACTAAATAATGGAATAGAAATATAAACTGACCATGTTAATCACTATTAAAAATAAGTCAATAAGTGATGAATAAGGAATGTCTACATCCATCATAACTTAGCAAGTATTGTATAATCCATTTTTTACCATAATAATTCTTTATCAGTATATCTATCTTACCTGCTTTAATATTATTAAAAAAATCAATATTGACTCATGTTCTTCTTTTATTTAAAAGGTAATTTAACTTTCATTTGTAAAGTTATAGTTAAAGACAGCAGTATTCAATATTATGCTTTAGAATATTCTGTTAAGTGTGACAATACTTTGCAGCATTTGGTTGACTGGCCTTCACATAATGATTACTTAAATGATACACATGGGAAGATCCATAGGGGGTAGGGGAGCGATGGTCATCTGCCCCTTCCCTCACCCACCACCACATGTTAGAGTGCTTTTAAATTTTAGTTGGCAAGATATGTATAGATGTTACTGTAAGTAAATAGTCAGCAGCTTTTTTCTTTAGGGGTGGGGGTCATTTATGAGAATCACTTTCAGGCTAATATTATTGTTGGCTTTAAGTCTCTCCAAAAATGAGAGGGTGACAAGACAGAAAACAGTTCCCAAAGTCATTTAAACTTACCTATTCAGTAGTTGCCTTCTTTCTGCTCCCCTTCCTGCAAATATCTGGACCCACCTAATACTTCACAGCCTCGCGAAAGGCCACCAAAGTTGACCTTTTTGCAAGTTAAGGTAACGTGGGAACATTACCTGCATCTCCACCCAACAAATACGGCTCCTCAATATTCCAACAAAATTTGGAACAAATACCTATAAACAACATCAATTTCTTTTCTCGATGCCATTCCTCAGAGTCAGGTTGACCAGGGTTCAGTTGGTAGAACCAAGTCTTCTTGCATGAGGACTTAAACTGGAGGTCGAAGTGTATACATCTGGTTGGTGTGTACTTTAAAGAACCCAGTGAATCTTTCGGAACTGTAGGGGGCTACTCTGATGCTATGGTTCACTTCTGCCATTTTATGTTTAGAGATGCTTGATCATAGACACTGGATACACTATTATCGAAAAGTAGTCTGTTTTGGAGTAGGCCTACAGTACTGTCCTCTCCTCTTTCTCTTTTCTTTCCTCCTCTCTTTCTTGGGGGCCCAAGCCCCCATGGCCTTCCCCATCCTTGGATCTGCCCTGGAATATAATGGCTTCTACCAAGGATATGCCTTTATATGTTATTGTTAATGATAAATTACAAAGTGAGTTTGTATTGAATTGTATTGTTTGTTTATTGAGTCATTTTTCTTTCAAACACATTGCCTACATTCAGAGCTAGAAAAAAATGCGCAATCGCATAGCTGGTGGCTGTAGGCGCCATACAACTAGTGTTGCGCTGCAGTATAGAGTGTACAGATAACATTTTGAGCTGGACGCCTCTTCATTTCCATGGTTGGAGACACAGAAATATTTTTCTAGGCCTGCCTACAACAATTTAGAAAAAACCCATAAGTAGGCCTGTAAAATACATAATTTGACCCCTTCTATTATTTTCCTACCCATACTTATATTGAGTTATTCAGAAAGCAATTAGCATGAATGACTTTGAACTCTGAACCTGGCGTTTTTTAACTTGTATAATGCAGTCATGAGTACGATTTACAGATTTTTTTGGTTCAGTCTCATTGATTCAGTCATTGAACTACATGATAACCTTGGAGTTAAATTGTTAAAGTAGTTTAACAAACATGAAACAGCCTGTGTTGTTAAATTCTTCACAAAATGCATAAAACAAACATGGGAATTTCCCATGTGCGTTGTCTGTGTTGTGAGAACAGTACGAATTTAATCCTAATTACAAACATTTCTAGTTTTGTAATGTTTGGCTTGCTATTTAAACATAATGTAATAAATGTTAAAGACTATAAAACATATTTCATTGACAATAATATAATCTATGTGTCTTGAATTGCAGTATCAGTTTCTAAAAAAATAATAGTGGTCGTGGCTAGTGGTTCTGTCAAAAAAATGTTGTGTGCAGGTTGGCGCCTATTACTGCTGACTAGCATGGTGAGAACCTTGTTACCATCATCTGCAATTTTAAAATTTGTAACGAAATTAGACAGAGATACTTACACAAATGGCTCTTGACTTCTCTGAATTTGTAATATGCTCCTAACACCTCAATCGCATGAGACTTACTTCAGTCAAACAAACAGACACGCTGATTAGTTTACCCATAATAAGTCCAGTGCGAACATTTCTGGAAGTTTCCAGTCAGGAAACTTACCCGAGTTGATGGTTTGTTTCACTGAGTCAATTGTGCCTAAAGCCACAACTGCACGGGACTTATTTCGGTAAAACTAACCGACACGCCGGTTAGTTTAGTCATAAAAAGTCCTGTGCGAACAACCTAGGAAGTTTTCCGGTCAGGAAACTTACCTGAGTCAACGGTTAGTTTCACCGAGTCAATTGTGCTCAGGAAAACTACTGGAGTGAATCTGACCGGGCTAGATAGTCCAATGCGAACAGCTTTACTCGGTTAATCTTCCGGGGTCACTGAAGTTGATGACATTTATCGCTCTGTTGGGCAACCACACATGCCCACAATTTCAACTCACAATTTCGCGCGACACGAACCTGTTCTGAATATTGCTTTGATTCTGCTTGTTGTTGTTGTTGTAACTAAATTTATATCATCGTTTCTACTTTCTTGCATTATTACAATTGGAGCATGGCTGATTTGATTGAAATTGTGAATGGTTTGTTTAGCCTTCCTAGGCCCAACAATCAAATTCATACTCGCAGTAGTAGTAGTAGTAGGCCTAGGTTTTGCCCTCGCTGACAGGAAACTTAACCGTCGGAAATCCAAGTGCGGACAGCCTTATGATTTCACCGTTGGAGTGTTAACCGGCGTCTCGGTAAAATCTTCCCCTTTTTAATTCCAGTGCGACTGGCTTTTGAGAACTACCAGAGTGAGTTTGACCAGGCTAGATAGTCAATGCAAACAGTCTAAGTCGGTTAATTTTCACTGAAGTTGATGACCTTTATCGCTCTGTTGAGCAACCACCCATGCTTCTCATTATCAGTACTCGATTACAGTAGTTTTACCCTTGCTGACGGTAAAAATAACAGTGTCGAAAAATCCAAGTGCGCACAGCCGTAAGATTTAAACGTTGGGATGTTAACCATCGTCTTGGTAAGATCTAATTTTTGAATCCTGTGCAAATGAGGCTTAAGACGGAATTAACATTGATTTTACTTGAGCCTCTTCCACACTGATGAGAGGCAATATCGAAGAACTATTTGTTGCCTTTACTTTTCCACTTGCGTTTCCACTTCTCTCTATTATCAATACAGTACTGTAGTTGTATATCCTACAGGCATTTTTTTTTTCTCTTTGTCTCGTCTTAATATTTCCATGTAATGTCATTTTCTTTTATGTTTCTTTGTTTCATAAAAATATTTTGTCTTGATATGGAGAAAATAAATAAAATATTAGAATCACTCTCTGCTATTGGTTATAATTAGCAGAGATTAGCAGGAATATGCTTTTGTTCATTTATTTGAAATTGGCTCATTTATATATTATAATTTTAATATTGATTGATAGATTGATTGATTGATAGCTGGGATTACCACAACATAGTTTGAGTGTAGTAGTATTGAATTCTTTTTTTTTTTGTTCGGATACTCCAGAGATTGAATAGGATATCTTGTGATTGGCTTTTAGATTAGGGGATTTTGTGACATTAGCTATCTTCTTAATATCTAACAAGTATCTTCAATTAC